GCTAGGTGGGCAAAAGCCATAATACAAAAATATCATCAAGGTTCACATTGGGACATTAGCTATTAGGCCTGTGTGAATAGGGAAGTATTTGATTCGGATTAGGCCAATTCAGATGACAGTGATTCAATTTGGAGATTCAGATCACTGTCCCAAATCAGTTCGGACAAATTAGCTTCGTAAGATTTGGCACTAATTCGGAGAGATTTGGTGACTCAGCCATAGACTATAATGGGGTATCACTGAAATACCTATAACTTTGATTTAAATGAAAACAGCCGGGATGTTAGCACCTTCTGAGGGCTGCCAGGTTTCAAGGAGATAGGTGTAGGGGTTTCTGGGAAACTGCGCCTCAAGGTGCAGACAAGCAAAACTCGTGATGTGTGACTTTGTGTGTGTTAAGGCACAGCAGTGTGAAAATAGCAGGTGTGGTAGCCCCTTTTGAGGCCATGAAGCCTGCCAGGTTTCAAGGAGATAGGTACAAGGGTTTCTGGGAAACTGTACATCAAGCAGACAGAGGCTTATATGCTGTTTCTATGTCCCTCCCCCAGAGCACTGTGATTGGAAGTGGACTCAGGGAAAGATCACAGTCACTGGGCAGCTACAGATATTAATCTTTCCTCCCCCACTCCTCAGTTTCTGTTCCCCTGAAAGACTGCCTTCTGAATCTCTGAATTTCCAAATCTTTTCCGAATCAATTCAGAGGCTCCAAATCAATCCAAAGGGTTTGTTTGGTCTCCCAATTCAATTTGGATTCAGTGATTCAGCCTCTGAATCAGGACGAATCTTCTCTGAATCAAATTGGTGACTGAAGCTTCGCACACCCCTATTAGCTATTGCTATTTCTCCTCTTTGGTAACACTGCTAAACAAGTAATTAACACTAACAAAACAGAAAAGTCCTTGCTTTTCAAATCCCTTACTTTTCAAATCCCTACCATTCTGTTTCTCTACTTTCTTGGAGCAAGGAATATGTACAGTAATGATTCCTGCAAGACCTAACTGAAGCAGTATTTTAACATACAGGGACTTACCTATGCAAAAATGTGTAGCCTGATATATTTTTTTTTTAAATGTCAGCACAAGTTGGTGGTGATTGGCCCTGGAAAATAAACCCAATTATTTTCAAGGCATAAGACCAGATGCAATAACTGACTTAGGTGCTTACAATGGGACTTAGAAAAAAACTTTAGGAAATAAATAAAAAATGTAGGATACTGAAGGGCCATGTTCTAATCTCACCTAACTCTGGGAGCAACTGTACTCTATAGCCACACTACTTTTTTACTTCAGATAAACTAATGGTTTTGGGAGCAGGAATTGGAAGCCAGGATTTCTCTTAGGTGAGTACAATAACCACTAGACCTCTTGTATTCTGTCTCTGGGCCCATGAATACTGCATTCCTTTCTGCACCGTGGCCTGGCTTCAAAAGGAATGGAGCACCCAGAATTGCTAAGACTCTGGTGGGAAATGCAGTTTTATGGGAGACTGGAGATGCAGGTCCCCTTTGAAGGGTCCCCCTTTGAAACCCTTCAGGCTAAGGAGGGGGAAAAAACTGTGTTTTCTACTCCTGGATGAGTACTAGACTGATGTATAGATAGAGGGTTCCTCCTCCAGCCCTATTTAAAAGAGTGAGCATGTTCAGTTCTTTGAATAAAAGGGTAGAAGGGCCTGTCATTCCTGACAGCCAAGTGTCTGTCTAACCTGTTCTTGAAAATTTCCAGGGATGGAGATTCCACAACTTATCTAGGTAGCCTGTTCAAATGGTTAATCAGTCTCATAGTCAGGGACCTCTCTAAATCACAGTTTCATAGATGTAATGGAAACCCCAAAAAACAGCTTTGTCTGAGATCACCGAGAAATCTGGCATTGGCCTCAATAGATTAAAGCTAATATCCCACAAAATCAACCAAAAAAAAAGTGGTAGTGAGGTAGACTGAATGAAGGCACCCTCTACCAATCAGTGGTGAGGGGCAGGGCAAAGAAAGCGGTAGTGATATAGACTGAATGAAGAGGTTCTTTGCCAATCAGTGATGAGGGGCAGGGCTACCAGGGTCCTTCTGCCAATCAGTGGAGAGAGGTGGGGCCGCCACAAAATAGGCTCTGCACAGCTTAAGCGAGCCACAAAAAACCTGTTATCTTGCCATGACTTAGGTAGTCCCAACTCATAGTCAGGAAGTTCTTTCTACTCACTAACCTAAATTGCCACTGTGACAGTTTGAGGCTATTGTTCCTAGTTCTGTTCCCTACAGCTACAAAGAAAAGTCTAACTCCATCCTCTCTAAAATCACCCTTCTGGTATTTGAAGCCTGTTATCAAATCTCCCTTCAGCTTTCTCTTCTTAGATCAGGGGTTTTCAACCATTTTTGATTCAAGGCACCCCTTGTCAGACTTGCCCATTGTCGTAACTTTCACTTGTTTTTTTACTACAAAAAAGTAAGAGTAATTCTTCTGTTGCAAAGGACTCAGAAAGACCAGAACAGGTCAAAATGCATTTGACATTATTGATTCCTATTTTATAGATTCCTATTTTATACATTAGGGCTGGAAGGGACCTTGCAAGATCATTGGGTCCAACCCCCTGCCCAAGGTAGTCAGCAGGAAGTCCGCTGGGGGCAGATCACCCCAGCAAACTTTGAAAACTCTAGGTTTATCTTGTGAATCATGTGCCAGTGTTTGCATACCTAGCAGTGCTAATATTGCACGGCACTCCATGGCACCCTGAAAAGGATCTCAGCGTATACCAGGATGCTCCAACACCATGGTTGAGAATCACTGTTTTAGTACCTATTCTGAGGTGTCCCACTATATGTAATAGGAGCCAAGGCACCTAACACATGGCTCTTGTTTCTATTCAGGCACCTGGTCCCCAAATAGGCTGCATTGCACCTATGTCCCTCATTAGAGCTCACCCATAATGGCTAGGGACAGATGTTATACATAAACCAGTTTAAGTGATTGGAAACTGGTTTAAACCTGTAAGTTCAGTGCACATAAACCTCTTTCAAAATGGCCAAGACTAGTTTAAGATAGGCCTGGATGAATGTAGTATCAAACTTAACTGATTTTGTTAATACAAGTTCTTTATGGGGTCAATCTACACAGCTTAGAGAATCTGTGAAGACTGAATTGTTTCAGCCTGTGGCTTTTTGACTGTCTGTTCTTAGCCAAGAACTTAACTTCAGGTACCAGTTCTTTTTTGTAAATCTTGGCCATGTATTACAGTGAAAATCTTAAAAGCAAAATGAATTGGATACTAATTAGAACACATTGGAGCATGTGTATAGGCACCCCAGGCTTCCATGTCTTCATTGCTACTGTTACCTGTGCCAACTAGATTAAAACTAGCCTGTGTGTGCTAGACTAAGCATGCCACAGTCTCACCTTCATTTTTCTGCAGACCTGTGTAGTGAAGGCAATGTGAGGGTGTGTCAGAGATAGGTTAGTGGGATAATTTTAGTAAAAGAGGTGCAGAAACTTCCCTGAGGATACAAAGCTATGGTTGTTATGAGTGTCTGGAGCATATGGTGGGTGTGTATCTCTGAGAAGAGCAGAGATGCTGCATTGTTACTGCTCACCCAATATAAAAATCATATTGTATAGGTTTCCCTTGCTTTATGCTGTACATGTGTTCCTAGAAAACAGCATATAACTTGAATTTGCACAAAGGGAATCCACTTTACATTGTAACAAATAGGGATATGTTCCAAGACCTCGGCTGTACTGACCCCCAGACCCATTTCTACTGCTTTTGCAAGACAATTTTGGTACTCGCCAACACCAGACAGTACACACAAGCACAGGGCATTATCATAATGGGGATGGCAACTACAGAAACACGTCGCAGATGTGTTTGGAGCACAGAGCCACACAGGATACTATATTTGTGTGTGTCACTCCCACAATGCACTGCACAAAACTGTGGGCTTCGACCACACTGATTGCATACGAGTGAATTTACCTTGCATATAACAAATTTTTGGTATAAAAAGGGTCATCGCATAAGAGCAAATTATCATATACAAAACCCACATACAGTGAGGGAAACCATACTTAGCTCACTTAAAAGAAACTTCCTCGCATTCCCTCAATGCTTTAATTGTCATATGCCAGTGTAATCCCTCCACTGGTTTCTTTCCTTACAGAGTTGTTGAATGTGCTACAAATTTTTGGTTACCACATATTTATTTTCCACACATTTAAAGGAAACTTACATACATTTAAAAAATTGAGATACTTTAAATATAGGTTTCTAGAAATTTTATAGAGGATACAAATACTGTTGTCTGCTGCTTTTTAATTGTAGCTGTTAAAAGGCTGGCCATATTTCTAGAAATTTGAAATCAGCCATGTGTAGTCCTTAAAAGTAGACATGTTTTAATGGGTATTGCAAGGAGTGTTTTGTAAAGTCCCTACAATTAGGGAGAGATTCATAAAAAGACATTTGGGTGCCTAGCCCCAACTACCATTCAATGGGAGATGACCACCTAACTGTAATTAATATCTCTGAAAATCTCTTCCTTTTTACTTTAGTATGTATTCTCTAAAATGTACTTATGAACTGTATTATTACCCATTTTTACACATTTTCCCCACACTTAAAAGCATTATGTTAAAAACTGACCACTAATAAAGCACAGTTTATCATGCTTTAAACATGTAAGCTGAGGTGTCAACAAGACGTGTTATTAAGTGTAAATAAAATGATCTGTACTAATGTGCATCGTTGTACATGAGTCATGTCCTAGCATAATATCTGGTTTGTGCTTTCTGACATCTCTATGGATTTATTTTGGACTAGCGAACAAATAATTAAACACTTTAATAGATGTTGGAATGGACTGAAAATGTATGAGGATCTTTCATGTTCTTTGTGTTGTGTATGTGTGTGGGGGGGGAAATCAGTTTACAAAAGGATGTTCTGAACTGCAAATAGTCCATCCTGATAATGCTTCAGGACAGTACTCTTATGATAATTTCCCTTTCTTTATTTTTATCTGCAGGTTTTCCATGAAGTCCAGCTAAGAATGCAACCAGCCATAAAGAGATAAGGCCTGTTTCGCTGTAGATATTCTTCTGTGTCGTGAAAATGGCTCTAATTTTTTGACAACAACTAAAGGAAAATGGGGTCAAATACACTTGGGAAAGCTGCAACATTAGATGATCTTTTGAACACTTGTATTGAAATGTCTGGTATGAGCTTGTTAATTTGTTTCGCTCCTTGCTGTTTTTGAAATGCATCCTCTCTTATAACTTTGCTTCTTTTACCACCTTGTTCAGTCCGTGCTTCCTTTGGCAAACAAGTATTTTTTCTTTGACATTGTCCATACTTGGTTCTAGCCCAGAGGAAAACATTAATTGAAAAGGTTGAAGGAAATATTTTCATCTGTTTGTGTGTCAGGAAGAGACAGCCTCTCTTCTGATATGGTGGGCTCAAACACTACTTGTTTTTAATCAAAAACATTACACAATAAATATGGTAATTTTCTTGCAATGCAAGGTGGATGGATATAATGATTTTTAAAATCAGTATTAAGATTAGATAAGTGTACCATTGAATTACTGGTATTTAAAGACTTGTCTGTGATTCCTTATAAAAGTATGGATTGATTTCTCCATGTGTTGATTTTGTTTTGCATTGTTGTTACATGGGTCTTTTAGACCTAATTCTGGAAGATTTTCATGTGTGTCATGTAGTAATTGGTAGTAATATGATTTCAGGCTCTCATTTTAATGAACCATTGCCTATAGAAACTGTTTCCATTTATGAGATTCTAGGGTCAATAATATAGTACTTTATGTGTGCCTTTATGAATTGTTATAAATAGAAATGACTTTTACTCTTTTGAAAACAGAAATCACTGATCATAAAACTCAGGTTGGGAGAGGTCATAAACTTCCCAATTTGTAGTTTTATTAAGGAAAATTAATCCTCCTACTGTATTTTGTGGACTCTGACATGCCTTTTAAAGTGGAAAGGGGAGTTAAAATAGGCCTTGATTCACGAAAGCACCCAAACATGGGCCAAAGTCCCATTGACGTCAATTGGATTTAAGCAGGTGCTTAAGTGCTTTGAATTAGGATCTTAATTAAAATGAGGCATCTGGCTTTTAAAGATCATGACAGCCCTCAATTTGAATTAGATTATAATATGACTTCAGTTTTGAAGAGAGTAATAAATGCCTAAACACTGATGGACATGACATAAATAATAAAGGACTGAATCCTGCAGCTGAATTCAGATAGACATACCACTGTGTCCAGACCATATCTGGTGTGTGCATCTGGCTCTAAAACAATGATCTCACATAGGACATAGACAACAGAGTCTGGGCACATCTTATATGTTCAGAATCCCACACTTCCCAACCACCTACACACATTCTTTGTTTACTGAAGTCCACTGTATATGGGCTTCCTATTCCTCACTTTGTCTCTTTTCTTTCTGATTTACTCTGTCTCATTTACATTTACTCCGTCTACTACTTCTCTGTAGGCATCTACATGTGCATTAATGCCTATATGTATGGCTCATTAAGTTTAGTACCTGTAATAACAGGTACACTAATTTAATGCGCCATAATCAGCACTACTGCACAGTAGCATCAGCATGCATCTTTTAGGTGACGCTAATGTGCAGTAGACTAATTCTACTGTGCCTTAACACATTAGCACAGCTTTTGCCATGGCGTGCTAAGGCACAGTAGAATTACTCTATTGTACTTCTAGTGACTCATGTATACATGCCCAGCAAAAGCTACATTCTCGAATGTGATAGTTGGTCATCATGACAGTTGTTTTCAGTAAATGACAAAACTGAATTTTCTGATGGTCATTTTAAAATTGGATAAATCTGTTGACCTTCTAAGTACTTATGTGTTTCATTAATCTAGAATTCTGATTTATATAAGCACATAATTGGTCACTGTGATCAGTTGGTATCAATGTTCATTTTTTGTTCAAAATTTATGACTTTTATAAAATCATGCTAAGTAGATCTGAAGGAAGACACTTCTGTGTTGCATCACCATTGTGCGCCTCATAAGAAATATTTATTTTGGAGAGTGGGATATATTTGGAGGCTTTTTGGAGAGTGGAAATATACCTTTTTTCTTTTGGGGAAAGGGGGGCGGTTCATTTGTGTTCCATTTTACACTTTGCTTTTATAATTGTTGGCATGCTATAGCCATTGCAATTCATTAACTTGAACTGCTAGAAAAGCATTTTTTGTTTGAGTTTGTTTACTACTCAGTTGATATACTTTGTGAGAATATTTTAATGGACAATACTTTTAATATAATTTCATTTTTAATATTAATATATCTGACTGCCCTTAAGGGAGGTAATGGATCATGAATATCTGAAAGTTGTTAGATTTCAGTATTTGAATATTGAAGGCCAGTTGTTTTGAAAGTGTCTCTGTTTTGCAGATGACAAAGGAGGTCTGGGCACCGCTCATTTGCCAAGAACATTCCTTTTAATGCACCGATGGTATCTGTCTTCCACAGAACTGGCAGGCAAACTTCTCTCCATATATCCTTCAAAGAGCCACAAAACCTTCTGTTAGTACTTTGGAAGCCAAGTGTGTCTCTAATATCATGTACAGACTATTTATTAAATAGTGATAGTGTCATCAGAATATGCGGTTCTCCAGTGACTGAGGGCCTACTCCTATGCCCATTGAAATCAATGGGAGTTTGGCATCTAAGCACCTATATGTCATTTGTACCTTTTGAAAATCTCCCCTGCATCTGTAAATATCTGTTAATTTCCTTGGTTAGCCAGTTTTTCTGGAAAACAATTTGCCCAGAAAAAACAGAGTGTACTGGATGCATGATTTCCCTAGAGCAGAAGGTGCCAAGTAGGAAATGGCATCTATGTGGCCTAAAGACATACTTGTTTTTTACTAGCTGTTATCTCTCTTTTCTTTAAGTTTAGCACATAATCGTTTGGCTGAACAAGTGCTCAGGAAGTATACTTCATCTCTTTCAACAGACCAGTCACTACAAAGTAAATGGTGCTGAAACCATAAATATGATTTTTTCCTTCCTTAACTAGTCTACCTATAGAGATGCCAGTGGGGAAAATTGCGACGAATTCCGTTTAAAAATCTGCTATTTCATGAGGTAAAATTGTAGTTGTATGAATACTGTCAGTTCTTGTACATTTTATAAGAGCTTTTTAAACCAGTCAACCTCTACTAATGCTTTTGCCTGGATGGTGGTGGGGCAAGGGATGCAATCCTGTTTTAAACATAAATGTTCATCTGGAGTTATTCAGCCTTTTGAAACTTCCACTACATCAAGCATGACCACTTTCTAAAAACTCATGCCACTATTTGGTTTGTATTTCATTCTTTGAAGTATAACACTCAGATTAGTTTGGCACCACATCAGAAGTTCATCTATGCAGTTCCAGAATGTTGTGCCTGGATCTTTGACTAATCTTTCTCTCATGATTTCAGATACTGGATTTTGGAGTTTCCTGCAGAATTTAACTTGGATCTTGGTTTAATCCGTCTGACTGAGGAATTCCGGGAAGTAGCCACCCAGCTTGGTTATGAGGCTCATATCCACCTTATTGACATCTCTAGCATGTAAGGCTATACTCTCTCAGGTGCTTATGCACCTTTCCTTTTTTTTTTTGTAATGCCAGAGTCCTGCAAAGGAAGTGTTCAGATTGAGGATCGCATTTGGGCTTCAGGGTGCCTATGCAAATACTTGGGGTTGGGGGCGTGTTTTAATTAAAGTGGTTCCAGGATAGACACTCTCATTAAAATGCCACAGTGTCATATCTATTAAGCCCCCATGCATTTAGAAAGGGCTGTGGGATACTTTAACTAAAGCTCAGTTGACAAGCTTTAGTTAAAGTACTCCAGTGGCCATTTTTAAACCCATTGGACCTTATACACATGACGCTGCAGCAATGCTAGAGTGTTCTAATTAGAATGCAGAGCAGACTCAATTAGAATGGATCAGAGTATGTGTATAGGCACCCAAAGTGAGTTAGTGGAGAACACCAGCAAGCAATTTCCAAAAAAGTGGTATTCAGTCCAAAATTTGAAATAAAGCTATCATCCCATTTATGATTATAAAGATAGACCTGTATGATTCTTAAGGAAGAAGAATCCTCTCTTTACTGCATTTTTATATACATCTGAAAGGAATAAATTATGTCCCTGCCCATGTGTGTTGCAAAGTCAATGCTGGTAAGAAAAAAAACACTACTTTACTATTGCTAGAAAACATTGTTCTCTTTGCAGGGAATGAGTGAACATTGCACCAGTCATCCCACAGGGCATGGTTAAACAGGGTATGTTTATTATGTATGCTGCAAGTATCACATTTAACAGGGAAGCTTAAGATTTTTCAGATTCCTTGTCTAGCTTCCAAAAATCTCTGACAATTCAGTTCCTACTCTGAATATGATTATTTCACAGTGTTTGATGCATCTCTACAGTGTAAAAATACCATCTCTGTGGTATTTTTCTAACTGCATAATATCTGGAGTGCTTAGTTTTAGCCATACTTTTATTAGAAATATAAATTATAGAGCCTTACGTTGGAATCTTATACCTTTGAATTTCTAATGTCAGCAAAGAAGCCATATTAGCTCTTTCGTTAGTTAGTCCATCTGCTTGTCAGGTTTCCTTTAGACTATAGAAGACACTTACTGGTGTTTTCTAATGTAAAGAAAAACAGCATGGAAATAACCTTTTGTGTCAGGGAAGATTGTAAGACATTTTTTACAAAGATTACAATGAAAGGGCATGAGTGTTGGGTCTTAAAGTTAATATTTTAAATAATATTTTGAATTCTATGTCTAAAAGTACATTTCTCAGTGTGCTTAGAGCTAGAAGAATAATTACTAACAAATGGTTAACTTAACCAAAGCATTTTGTTTTAACCCTCCCACCATACTTTTATGTCAGTTTGTTGCAAATTTCTTATTTGAAATCTGATTAATTTAAAATGGATTCTTAGGGCACATGTGTGCAGTGTGCTGTTGTGGCTTTAGCTTCAGAAGTCCTATTTGTGTTTATGTTATGTTATGTTATGTTGATCTCCACATAACTATTTTTTTTTAGTATGGGTGACTGAATCAAAGTCCTAGATCCAAAACCTAGGAATGTTGGAAATTAAACTCCAGATAGTGTGGCTTGTGCTTACTACTATAAATATTTTAGCCTAAGACAGTACTTCTCAGTCAGGGTATTATACACCCAAGGGTGTCATAAGATTCTTTTAAGGGTGCTGCACAATATTTGCAATGTTAGAAATGGAAGTACCTACACCAGGGGCAGGCAATTACTTCAGGCGGATGGCCACTTACTAAGTTTTGGCAAGCTGTTGAGGGCTGCAAGGGTTGCCCTGCCCCCTGACAGGTGCTCCTCCCCCTGGTCACCATCTTGGGACCGGAAGTCCCGCCCCCTAACCCCTGACCTTCAACACCAGAAGTCCCTCTCCTTCCTCCCCGGAAATACTCCATTCAACAAGGAGGTTTGCCATCTCAGAACCAGAAAAATACCAAATTATATTCTAAAAATTAACTACATCTACTACAAGATGCATTAATTTGATTTAAAAAAAATATGTTTGTCCTGATTTACATGTGTTTGTGTAGTGCGCTGTTTACCAACCGGTGTGCTGTGGCACACTGGTGCACTGTCAGACATGAACAGGTGTGCCACGGAATTTTTGAAAAGTCACACAAATAATGAATAAATGAAACATTTTATATATATAAAGGGCCTAGTCTGTCTGTCTGTAATGCTCTTGTGGGGCATGGCTCCCAGCAAGGAGTGGTTCCAGCCAGTGCCACGCGCCACCCCTCCACCTGCTCCGTGGAACGGCGGCAACACAGGGCCATGGGTGGTGGCAGTGGTGGCCATATTACCTGTTGGGGGCAGGGGCAGGGAGTGGTGTGCCACAATTTTTTTAAATTCATGTAAGCGTGCTATGGGATGGAAAAGGTTGGGAAACGCTGGTGTCATTTACATAGAGGTGATTATATAATAGCTTAAAATGAAGTCTTACTCTTGTATATTTGGGGGGAATGTGGGAGGTATGGGTGGGTGGGTATAGGTTGGTGGGGGGCTGTGGGTATGTGTGGTGTGGGGGTGCTGGGGGGATAGGTGTGAAGGTGTGGATGTGGGGTAGGGGAGCATGTGGGTGTGTGTGTGGGTGGGTATGGGGTTGGTGAGAGGCTGTGTGGGGGAGAAGAGTGGCTGGGGAGAGTTGTGGCATACATGGAGGGGGAGGGTTTGCCCACAACCCCCACCATGGCAGGCAGAGCCCCCACCAGTGCTCCTCAAAGCCTGGGCTACATGCTCCTGCCCCTTCTGGCTCCAGGGCACTGGCGTGGGCCCTATGATCCCACTCGCTGCCACTTCTGCCCAATCTGCCACCAATGCCCTTCTCCTGCTGCTTCCACTCCCTGCTGCTTGCTGCTCCAGCACCACATCCCAGCTGCGTGGCTGAAACTGCAGAACACAGTAGGAAGTGGCCCAGCCCTGCCAGCACCACACAGAGCTGGCCAAGAATCACAGGGGCCAAGCCAGCTCCTGCTGAGTCCTGCAGCTGGCCACTGCAGCCAGGAACCAAATGATACCAAAGTGGTGGGTGACAGGCAGGAAAGCAGGGAAATGAAAGCAGCAGGCAGTGGGGACTGGCAGTAAGTGGATGTGCAGGAGTGCAGGGACAGCTGTGTGGGAGCATGAGGCCCATGCCAGTGCACCAGGGCCAGCACTGGCAGAGACCCAGAGTGGGGTGGCAAGAGCACAGGGGACAGGCTGGCTGGGGCTCTATGGAGCTGGGCTGTACCAGCAGAGAAAGTGGGGAGCTCCTTCCCCCACCCACCTGCCACCACCATTTCCCTGCTTTCCTGCCTGATGCCGCCGCTCCTTTCCCCACCCACCCTGCACCGCCCACTGTTCTGGCATCACGTGGTTCCTGGCTGCAGCACCAGGACCACAGGAGCCAGCCCGGCCTGGCCCTGGGGACTGGGGCGATCACCCACAGTCCTCCTCTGCCCCCCCACCTCCTTCTTATCTGAATGTCTCTCTCAGGTGGAGGAAGGTGGGAACAGCCCCAGGGTCCCAGGCCACATGACTCTGCTGGGCAGAAGCTTCTGGCTAAGGGTGGAGGGTGGAGGAAGGGGTTGGGGGGACAGGGCCAGGCAGGCCTTGCTGCCGCAGCTGCTGGGTCTTGCTGCTGGCTCCCCCTGGGTCCTGCTATACCTAGCTCCTGTCATCTTTGACAGGCAGCCAGGGACAGATAAATATTAATTTTCTAAATTTTTTATGGGTTCTGTGGGCTGGATAGAATGGCCTGGTGGACTGCAGGACATATTTTGCCCACCTATGACCTATACATTATTCATGTGATAAACCCAGAGAGAGTTCAAATAGGAATCCATAGTGTCAATAACATTCTGACCTGTTGTACTCTTTCCTGAGTTCAGAATTGTGCTATTATTTTTCTATAATTAAGAAACAAGTGAAATCTAAGAGCTGGCATTTTTTAGGGGGTACCCTGAGTCTAAAAAGGTTTAAGAACCATTGACCTAAGGAGCAAATTTTTAAAACTGAACAAAGATTTAACAACGCTATTTAACACATGGCCAAATGGAGTTCCTGCCCTGGATCAGCTGACTGATTCTGGGGCCAGTCCAGATTGAGCCTGCCCAGATCAGGGCGTGCCAGAACCAACACACAGGACTGATCCAGCAGTGTGCTGCTTACAGCACACACCCTGAGCTGCCTCCCTATACCATATGCAGCATGTGTAGTCAGTCCAACCCATGTGCTTCATGCAGCATGTGCTAGGCCTGGGGTTGCTCTGCACACCAGCCCAGACCAACCTCCTGTGCTGCAAGCAGTGCCAAGTCCAACCCAAGCACCATATCCAGTGCAGGCCCTGGAATGGGACTGGCATGTGCTGCATGTGATGTACAGGCTGGACCTGGAACAGCAGATGCTGTATATGGCTCAGAGGGTTGGTCCCAATCTGGCTGATAGACAGGCCCAGCAACCCTCATTCATCCTCACTGACACCCGTGTTCTACAAAAAACCACAAAGGAAAATATGTGCCATATCATTCTGTGCTGAGTAACTATGATGGTCCCTCCTTTGTCAGTACAACATAGTCCTTTTCTAGCTGTTTCATATAACTAAAAGATGCCTTTTCCTTTACTGTTCTATTTTTTCTTGGCCTGTGGTCTTTCAGGCTAGGAACAGACATTCAAAAAGCCCGAGCCTGAATTGATTCAATCTTTGCAGGTTAGTCTAACCTGGCTAGACTGAACTGGTTTGTAACTGGACAGACATTCTCTCTGGACTGAGGAAATTCAGGCACATGCCTGCAGTGTCTCAGGCTGGAAGCTTGGGGGGCACTAGAGCAGCCCTACTTTCCCTTGCATAGCACTTAGCTGATGGGAGCTGTGGCCAGGCCCCAGCAGAACCTCTGATTAGGGAGGTCTTCCTGCACCATCCCAGGCTTTTACTGCTGGCTGCTCAAGGGTCAGGAGTGTTTCCTGACCCCAGTCCACTGCTACCACTTTGATGCATCACGGGGTGTGCAGTGCATGCATCTGTTGATGATATGGAGTTTTTCAATCTCCCTCCCTGCTTCTTTATACTGTCTGCAGCAAACTGACAGGCAAGCAAGCCAGCAGGGAGCTGATAACAGTGTTTATCACCTCATCAGCAAAACAATAGCCTCTCTCCATTAGTTAAAACTCTTCTTAAACAGCTTACCAGCTAACCTGTTGATTAGCTCCAAAATTCCCTAAGGGGTCACTGTTCTGTCCACCTATCCCAGTAAAATTGAAGACACACACAGACACCTCTCAGCATTAGCTAGCATACCACATGCCTAGGGTCCATTGGGCTGGGGCCTGTGCTGTGGGAGATGGAGGGGAGGGGGCAGGAGGGCAGGGAGAATCCAGGCAGACTCTGCTGTAATTGCAGTCTTTGTCAGAGCTGCAGCCAGGGAGCAGAGGGGAGGGGCCAGCTCTGCTGTGGAGCAGAGAGCCCCGTACAGCCCAGAGAGCATGCCAGGATGCTGGGGGAGTCTGGTTTATCTTAAACCAGCAAGGGATCTGGGATAGACATTGCATAAGCCAGTTTGACCCAAATCAGTTAAGTCTGATACTACATTCAACCAGATTTATCTCAAACCGGTTTCAGCCATTTTCAAATTGGTTTATGTGCACTGAACATATGTTCTGTTACAGGTTTAAACCAGTTTCTGATCTGGTTTAAGGGTTTATGTGTAATGTCTGTCCCTAGCCTCAGCCATTAAAAGAAAAATAAATTAAATCCTCATGAATTATTATTCAAGTCAGTTTTAGTCAGACCTTGATCTTCTTTGTAATGGATTTTTGTGAACCAACTGCATAGTTGGGAGACATTTAGACACACACCTGAAGTGGATTATCTTTTTCCTGAAACCATTTCTATATCTCTCCCAACTCTACTATTGGTCTAATGAAAGAGATCACATACAAAAAGTATTGCCTCCTGCACTTTTTTGGGGATCATCATAGCTACAATATCACTCTAATACTTTTCTAGTTCTTTGTAATGTAGCTGTTAGATCTCCATGAATTATATGATACAATATAGCACAGGAGAGTATATTGTCCATGTTCCCATTATGAATCCAATACTGTACAGTACTTCAGATAGTAAGCAACACAATCTTATCCCAGAAGTGCCAGCGGCACTTCTCCTGGTGCCCCCACAACCCGGAGCACTGCCTGTCAGGAGATGCACGTGTACCCCTGTGCACCCCCTAGGCATGGCCACAGCAGATAATGGTTCCCACTCAGAGGTGTGTGGACAGGATCTGATGAGCCTTCTTTTCTGTTGCAGTCCCTCCTATGACTGGATGAGAAGAGTCACACAAAGGAAAAAAACTTCTAAGAAAGGAAAAGCCTGCCTGCTGTTTGACCATCTGGAGCCCATTGAACTAGCCGAACACCTGACTTTCCTAGAGCACAAGTCTTTTAGACGCATTTCTGTAAGAAACCTACAGCTCTTTCTTTCACTCACAATGATACTCTTAATAGGGCCTTGCACTTAAACTGAGACTTTATTTGCTTTAAGGTAACACTTGTGCTCCATGACTTCATTGTGCTGTGCAGCTACACCCTTAGGACATAAAACAAGTGCCATTGTTTCCCCCCTGTTTTGGTATTTGATGTTTAGGGCCTGTCATGTTTCCTGGACACATTAGGGGTACTGTGTTCTTAAAGGAACATTCTTAAGTTAGTGCATCCTAAAATTGACCCCAGTATAAAGCAATACCCTGACTCCCAAATGCTTACAATAGTCATGGAAGTGTATATGCTTCACCCTGGGAGGGCAGCTCGTCTTAGTCTCTATCTGCTCACCCTGCAGATCTTGCATATCTGGCATTTTACTAAATTACAAAAACACAGCAAAACAACTTGTGTTGAGTTTTCAAGGAACTAAGCAAGAGGGCAGTCAGTATATCCCATGCTGAAATAAACTGATACCTACTGTTAAGTCAGATGCAAAAGATTTCCTTGAGTAAATATTGGACTAGAATGGCATTGGATGGTAACCAGGGTAAATTCAGAACTGATCTTCTTTCTCTCCTTATCACCAATTCAAACATCTGGAACAAAAGGAAAAACTGAATGACAATGACAATGGAGATCAGAGGAATATTAGAATTGCAGTACTGAAGCGAGACTCTCAAAAAGGGGAACCTAGTTTTAACTGTGTTATAAACACTAACTGAAGAACTGGCTTCTTCTTAACAAGTATTCGTAGTAAATGCTCTCTTGACCTTGGTTCTTTTCATGGTAAGTAGAAACTATCCTAGCAGTAAGGCTGCTAGACTTAATTCTTCTTAGCAGAAAGACACTGTTGTGAGGAAACTTGGGAAACCAAAAGGAATAAAAGTCCAGATTTTTTTTAATCCTTGATGCTTCAAGAGAGAGAATAAGGAAGCCAATGAAGAGATGAAAAAAAGAGAGACAGACATGAATAGGGTTTTCCTTAAAATCAAAGTAAAGTTTCTGCCATTCTGGACTCTAAATAACAGGAAGTAACTCTATACAATGTGGGAGAATAAATGTAGGTTATCTGTGTAATGCTAGGTCTAACGAGGGATGGAAATGATTTCTCACATGCAACAGTGCCCAAGAAAAGAGTTGGACATTAAATAAAATGTTTAAAATATATTTTGATGCTTCTTGGGAATCCCAGAGAGAAAATTGAGACCTTAAGGACTGGTGGCTTAAACTGGAAGCTTGCAATTTGATAGTTATAATAATAGTTAATTTATCTGTTTGAGTTTACTAACTCAGATAATTCTCCTGAACCAGTTAGGGTTTCTGGTACATGGGCTGGAGTCAGCTAAGCTTATGTTTCCCCTACTGTGAGGTAGAAGTTGATAAGTAGAGCAAATAGAGGCATGTTAGATTTTAAATAAAGGTAAAAGTGGCTATTAATAGGGGTAGCACACCTAATTAGCAGGGGGCAAGTCAGGGAGTTAAGAGAAGAGCATACTTCTGTAGATGTAGGTTGAAAGTTAATCTCAAAACCTAGTGGGTTTCATATAATAAAGGTGGGAAATGGAAAGAAAAGGGGATTGAGGATTGTTGGAAAAAGATTTGGAAGGTTATAAGCAGTGAGATGTTGTAAATTTTCAGCTCCTGGAAAGATACTTACTGTACCTGCTGTTAGGTGGTCTCTAAATAAGCAATTTTTGTTCAGTAGACCAAGGAAAAGGCAATTTGGGCTCATATTTTTAAGAATAGTGTACTTAGGTTAGAGTAGGACATAATCTGCTGGAGATCTGGACTTAATCTGTTAGAGGGCCAGTTAAAAACAAATATTTCAAATGTTTGGGTAAGTCAAACACAAGTCACAGTAGCTCTGCCGTGTAAAGCAGTATCAATACATTTGAAAAGGCTAGAAATAAGAAACTATAAATCTGGTTGACATCCCTTCAATGACAATATGTTTCATAAGGGTCTTCTTGGAAAAAAATAAGATAAAAATCAAAATGTGGACAAAGAAATAGGTGTTGTGTTCAGGCTAGAACTCTGGCTCTCATGAATTTTGTGGCAAAAAACCATCGATTTCACTTGTTAGGTCAGCAATGCAATCTGTCAAAATACTGGAGGGTAATTCACTCCAAGAGAATTAAACTGTCACAGTCACCTCCTCATAACTTGTAGAAGAAGAAAAGAACATTTATTTTTTCAGTGTCAAGAGGATGAACAATGACAAAAAATGGCTGGAGGGGATAAGTATTGGATAATCTGTAGCACAAGCTGATTTTATGAAGGTAAAGTTCAAGACCTATTGAGTTGCTCTATTTTCTGACATATATACATTAACAGTAACATTTTATAAACTTTTCATAAAAGTATCTTCATATAACTTAAAGAGGTAGCCCAGGTGCAGTAGGGAAACCTAATAGAAATAGCAACCTCTTGTTTTAAAGGAAAAGTAGCACAAGTATCACATTGACTATAAAAGTGTTATGCAATGCTTAAATGTACATTTCTTTCCTTGGCTAGTTTATAGATTATCAAAGCTATGTGATCCATGGCTGCTTGGAAAACAACCCTACCCTGGAGAGATCTATTGCATTATTTAATGGTATCTCTAAGTGGGTCCAGCTTATGGTTCTCAGCAAACCAACACCCCAGCAAAGGGCAGAAGTAATTACAAAGTTTATCAACATTGCACAGGTAAGATAAATCTTTGAACCATGCTTTGTCTGATAGAAGAAAATTATACATACCATTGCTGCAGAAAACTAATGAGGAATGTCCATCCAAAACTGAAGAGCCATTGGACTAGGTAGTTGAGAGACAGCAGTTTCCCAGGGAGGGACATGGCTAACATCACATCCATTCCTCTTTGACTCCCCAGCCAAAATGACCAAGCACTCATGTACAAAAGATTTGGAAGATTTTGAGTCAACTGGGAACTGCCTTTGGCATGAGCCCAGAGCCAGGCTTGAGCTCACCGCTGGAACTTTCCAAGATACCACAACCACTCTGCCACTGTGATTTCAAGCTGTTTCTTTGATGAATATTTTTTTCAGCCATAGTTTATGCTTCTCCTTTGAGTTATTTCTAGATCAGCATTTTAATGTAAGGCAGTGTTAAGTATGCCCTTATGATGCCTGAGTAACATGGACAGCCATCTACATTGTGCAAATGGCACAAGCTATTTCCCAAATCCTATTGATTTCTATATTAAAGTCTCTGTTTAAGCGAATTTAAGCACGTGGGCTAATTTGTGCTAGAACAGCATGACTCGGGTATTTGCCCCTTGCTTGTTACTTTGTTATTAAAAGCACCCGCAGATGCAATTTAATGATCAGGCCTCTAACCACTCTCCACTTGTCTTCCTACTCCCCACCTTCTGTGCTGTGCAGTAGTAGAATGGCTGCAGCAGTAGACATGGCTAGGGGAGGAAAAACCACTCAGGGCTCGGAGTAGTAGATGAGTACCATACAGGTGGACAATATTCTGGCTGCCAAATGAGTTGCTGTAGAGTGTACACTTCAATATGTAATATGCCTTCTCATTGCTGTTGGTCTTTTGTTGCTTTTCTTGTGTTCCGGGTGCATTCTATGAATTATCTGTTTGCCTATTTTGGTGTGCCCCTGCTCTACAAGAAAATGGAGATATTAACATTACATATTCATGTCATGTGTCCCAATTTACAGGTCTATACACTTCCTACTGTATTTTAGCAGTGACTAACTCATCTACTTTAACACAGGTGCAGCAGTCATCCAGTGTCATGCAATACATTTCCCTAAGCTTGATGTTCATATGTTTGATTCTCATGCAGAAGTTGCTACATCTCCAGAACTTCAACACCCTGATGGCAGTTGTAGGAGGTCTAAGCCACAGTTCTATTTCTCGTCTCAAAGAAACGCACTCTCATCTATCTTCTGAGGTTACAAAGGTACAATGGGATCCACAGTATAAATAAATATTTTACTGAAAAATCCAGTATCTCATGTATAACCAGTATTTCAGTAAAGATATATTAGGCTTTAGAACACTTGAATCCCATTAAAGCATAAATAAAGAGTTAGGTTGCTCTTGATAAAAAACAGTTAGAGTGTGAATATCTTGTTTTTGATTGTCTGTGACGGGAAGGAAATGGACAAATTCAGCATCTTGGTGTCATTTAGAATAGGTCAAAGAACTGTTATGAATGCTCTTACTGAGTCTTGGATCTTATGGCTGTTTATAGGACTGGAATGAAATGACAGAACTGGTCTCCTCCAATGGAAACTACTGCAACTACCGCAAAGCTTTTGCTGACTGTGTTGGCTTCAAAATCCCCATTTTAGGAGTACACTTGAAAGACTTGATTGCTGTCCATGTCATCTTTCCAGATTGGATAGATGAGAACAAAGTAAACATAGTGAAAATGCAGCAGCTTTCCATGACCTTGAGTGAACTGATTTCCCTGCAGACTGCTTCCCATCATCTAGAACCAAATATGGATTTAATTAACCTGCTAACAGTAAGTGTTATGAAGGTTCCAGCACACCTGTCCATCATAGGTAGATGAGACTTCATTCAAGTAAAAGGAGCTATTCACATAAAGATGTACACAATTAATTCCTTAATATTTTTTTATGCAAGTGATGATAAATATGACAAAAATACATATAATAGAAAACACTGTAAGTAATGGCTACTTAAGGTCAAAGAGAACTTGTACCAGTGTTTTATCTAATGGCTGGACATTAGGCATTGGACTATCAGCTAAATTATCTAGTCTAAATCCAAAAATCTAGTCTAGAAAAATTTAACACACCCATCCAAGATCTAATCCTCTAATTTATTTCAATGGTAGCCATTGAGGGCTGTTGAAAGTCAGAGTGCTAATTTCAAATGCCTAAATATAATCTTAAAAACCTGCTTTTAAATATCTTGTAAAACCCTTTACATAGATCTGTATAAAAATAAACAGACTGTGAGCTAGACAGTCCATTCTTTACACAAGGTGAAAAACAATCAATAGTATATGTGGAAGCTGAATGTCAAATAAAGTGAATATTCTTGTCCTGGTGTGTATGATATTTCCCCCTGGATGCATGTAGTAGGGGAGACTGTGAAAAGCTGACAAATGGCTTGAATCACTAACTGCCAAATTCAGAAGCGATGCATAAATTAAACTCAGTTATATGAAAGAGAATTAAATGAGGTGTAACTTAAATAGTGAAAATCCAGAGTAAGGTCTAAGTTAAACCAGTGGGTAGCTTAACCCTTCCTTCCACACCCTGATACTGTCTGTTGACCTCCCTTTGTGCTATGCTGTGTTCCCCTCCCTTCTGAATCCTCAGCTACCCCAGTCTAATATCCCTTTCACTCACTGGACCAAATTCAGAGGTGATGTTTAAAAATTTTTTTCAGATCTGAAACAGGTAGCCAAGGTACAGCAAAACAAGGAAAGGTTCCAAGCAGAAGTTCTCCAGGGAAGCAGAGTAAAAGAGGAAAAACAGCTGCAGAGATAATATTGCCTTTCCCTATTTGTTATTAGAAACGGTTGCTTTTGAAAGATGAGAGGGGGGATACTTAATGAAGAGATATTAGCATCTGCTGTACAGTCTCTCCAATATACAACGAGTTTTATAATCCTTTTAATTTCACAATATGAATTCATCTTTGGCAGCAGGCAGCTGGTTCATTCCTTACAAGGGTTGGAGCTAGTGCAGGGTCACTTTACCCAGCCCCATATATTTAAGTCAGCTGCATATTGATAACATTCATTTGGTGCCACAATTTTTTGCTTGCTATTTTTAGCTCTAACCGCTGCTTAACTAACCTGTTCTGAGGCTATGCAAATAGTTGGAAAGTCCCAGTCCTTTCTACAGTCTAGTGAAGTGAAAGACAAAGTACTGGTACCTAAAAACCAAACCAAAAGTAAATCTTACCTTTTGTTCAGTGCAGTTCTTTTTTGAAATTAGAAGATTATAACTTATTTTTTTTAAATAATTATAAAATAGGACAAAAATTAAAATGAAATTAAACCAAGAGCTAAAAATTTCCATTCCAAGGGATGATAAAGGAAGTCTCAGGAAACTTTCTTCCAAGCAGCACTGCTTATCTTTCAATGAAAAACTCTGTAATTGATTTATAAATACATGAAGTATTGAGAATTACTCAATAATTGCATATTCTTAAAAAATGTCTCCTTGTGCTTAAGTTTGAATAATGAATCCCAACCCCTTAAATATGCAATATATATGCCTTTTTGTTTGCACACACAGGCCAAATCCAGCTCTGCCTTTAGATGTGTTAGCACAGAGGTGGGCAATTATTTTGGGCAGAAGGCCGCTTACCCAATTTTAGCAAGCTGTCAAGGGCTGCATGGATAGCCCCACCCCTTGACAGGTGCCCAGCCCCCTTGTCACTATCTTGGGACCAATGTCCCAATGTCTTGGGACCAATGTCCCAGGGCCAGCACTGGTGGGGCCCAAAGTGGGGTGCAGGCTGGCAGGGGTCTGTGGATCCGGGCTGGGCTGCACCAGCAGGGAAAGGGGGGAGTTGGCCTGGCTTCATAGAGCCGGGAGCTGGCCCGGCTCCATAGAGCCCCTGCCAGCTGGGACCCCTATACCCCTGCTTCCCTGCTCTGGGCCCTGCCGGTGCTGGCCCCGGAAGACCAGTACAGCCCTGTGCTCCCACTGACTCCCGCATCCACTCACTCCCAGTGCCCCCCAGCCCTGCAGTACAGCGGGGGACAGCGCAAAGCCCTGACCCCCTGCTCACTGGCAGGGAATGAGCTGATGTTGAGCGCAGGGAAAAGCAGCCCCTCGCCTGCCCTGTGGCCGGAACTCCCTGCTACAGCTGCTCACAGCCCAAGTGGGGCTGTCCTGAGCAGGCATAGGCAGCCCCAGGCAGGCTGTGAGTGGCTGCAGCATGGGGCACCGGCCATGGGGTGGGCGAGGGGCCACTTTCCCTTGCGCTCAGCACCAGCTTGTAACCTGCCCCTGCTGCCAGCCTGGGCCCCGCACTGGCTCCGGGCTCACCCGTCCGGGCTGCGCTGCAGTGGGAGCAGCTGCTCAGAGCAAAGGAAAGTGCCCCCCGCACCCTTCTGCTTGCCATGCCAGGTAGTGTTTGCTGCCACTGCCCACCCAGAGCTCGCATGCTGGGCAGCACAGAGGCGGCGGTGGCAAACACTGCCCAGCGCAGCAAGCGGGGGGCCGCTTTCCTCCATGCCAAGCAGCTGCTCCCGCCGCGGCACAGCCCCAACAGGTGAGCCTAGAGCTGGCACGGGGCCCAGGCTGGCAGTGAGGGCAGGTTACAAGCTGGTGCTGAGCAGAGGGAAAAGCAGCCTCTCGTCTGCCCCATGGCCAGCGCCCTACGCTGCAGCCACTTGCAGCCCGCCTGTGCCTGCTCAGGACAGCTCCATGCGGAGCACTGGCTATGGGGCAGGGGAAGGGCTGCTTTTCCCTGTGCTCAGCTTTTCCCCAGGCCACTTTTCCCTGGAGTCCTCCCCTGCCCTTTCTCCCCCACCACCACCTTACTTGAGGTTCCCCCGCTGGGCAGCCACATATTCCCAGGCCAGAAACCTCTGCTGGGGCTTCCAGCTGGGGGGCCGGGGCCAGGCAGGCCCTGCTGTTGCAGGAGACTGCCATGGCTTCCCGTGGGTCCTACTGCCCCTGGTTCCTGTCATTTTTGACAGGAAGCAAGGGCAGATAAATATTAATTTTATAAATTCTTTACAAGCCCCACGGGCCAGATAGAATGGCCTTGTGGGCCAGATCTGGCTCGCAGGCCATATTTTGCTCACCCCTGAGTTAGTAGGACCTATGTATCTCCTATTAGCTAAGTGACCTTTCAAAGCACTTGCATGGATATTAGCTCCTACTTCCTCCAGGAAGGCGCATAACTGTGTATGTCCCTCAGAATGGAAAAGGGAAAGACTTCCAGGCCAACAGCCTAGTGATTAGCACAGTGATTACTGGGTTCAGTAAACACGTACATACATTGAATGAGAAGAACAACACAGTTTATTTTATGGAGCAGTAGACAACATCTGCAGACCCTTTGTCTCTCTGACTAACCTGCAGGACCATCTCCCACTATGTGGAGGAGGTGTGAGTCTATATCTCTCACTTCCCAGCAAAGTATCCTAACTACCAATCTGAGGTAAGTTTATCCTTCTCCCCTCCTGTTGCAGCTGGTCTTTTGGGCAGCTAAGAGGGGAAGATATATGGGGCCAGGAGGCAAACAAGCCAAGAAGAGTGTGGCTTTGTAAGATGGGCACTGCCCTGGATGGGGTTCCTGAGTTCTGTTCCAATGGTGTTTCTCTGTCTAGCAGTCACTGTTTAAAACTGAAAAACGATGGAATAGCTTTGACCTATTGGACCAACTAGTATTTCACAAAGTTTACGCACTTTCCCAAGGTGAAATAGAATGGCCAGCATTGATACCCTCTGAACATGCTCAGAAAAACAAGGCAAGATGCACAGAGAAAAGTAGGATCTAGTGGCCTAAATGTCACTTATGTGGCTAATTTTAGTCATGTAAGTTCTACTTACCTGCCTAAAGGGGAGGTGGATATTGGCCCATGTTCAACAAACATGTTCAAATATCAGCTTATTAAAGGCCAGATATTTGGGAATGTTAATAGGCATAAGTAACTAATCTCCAACCCCAAACTCACTCCTCCCGCTTCCCTGCCACTTTCTCCAAATGGCAAAACTTCTATTGACTTCAGTAGGAGCAGGATAGGACCCATCAATTCAAACTACTAGCCCTACTTTCATTTCACCATCTAATTTAATATCATTAGCTTCCATGAAGTTCTGTGTGTTTACACCAGCAGGGAAGTTGGGCAGACATATACGCAAGTCTTCTTTGGCAATCCTTCACAGTCAAGGATGATTGTCTTCTATGATTGTCTTATCTCTGTGTCCAAAGATGGCTGATGAGGCCTATCACGGATCAACAGACTCCACTGCAGCTTGGACATGTGTTTCTGTGTGGGGTGCGTGGCACTGGATTCTTGATTTAGTCCATGACATGCTGTTTCTGCCATTCCCACTTTTCCATCTCCTGTAGTCGTTATGAGGTTTCAAAGTACAGAGATCCCTGCAACAGACTCTTCCTACATTTGGGGCAGTCTTGGGCAATAGTCTCCCATGAGCTGATATTGATGTTGATTTTTTTTTAAGTTGGCCATAAGGACATTCCTGAAGCACTTTCTTTGCCCTTCTCCTGAGTGTACACGTTGGCTGAGCTGGGAGAATAAAAGTTGCTTTGGGATTCTGAAGTCAGACATCCAGATAACATGGCCAGCCCAGTGAAGTTGATGTCAGAAAATCATCACCTCAATACTCATGGTGTTTGCAAATTGCAGAAGGACACTAACATTAGTTCATCTGTCTCCCCACTGGGTTTGGAGGATCTTCCAGAGGCAGCGTTGATGATACTTCTCCAATAATTTTAGATGTCTCCTGTGTGTTATCCATGTCTCAGCTCCATACAGCAAAGTGGGGATCATGAAATCTTCATAAACCATGAGCTTGGTTTTGGATCTGATGTTGCAATCTTCAAGCACCCATTTCTTCAGGCGTCCAAAGGCTGAAGTTGCACATTTGAAACCATGTTGGATGTCTTCATCAATGGGCCTTCTGTGGGCTTCCAAAGTACTCAGTGCCTCACCATGGATCTGGATTACCAGAGCTGTGGGGCAGAGCTGTGCCCAACTGTACCCAGAGATGTACCCAGCACGTCCACAGATGTGGGACAGTGGAATGACCTTCAAGGAAGTTTAGCTGTGAAATAAGCAGGAGTAACTCTGACAAATAAGCAGTCACAGACCAAGCAGTAGCAGTACCACCAGGATGTGGTGAGGACAGCAGATAGCAATGCTTTCCCTCCAGAAAAGCCTTTAACAATGAGTTCATGTTGCCACTATAATAAACCTACCCAGCCCCTAGCCATGGGTCTACAAGTCCTCAACAGCAAAGCAGGCAGAAGAAGATGTTAGAATCTCAATGACTACAAAGATGGATGAAGGCTGCAGCAGAACAAGATCCCCAGTTGTCCTGGTCTCTTTGCCATTGGATCAAGGTTCCATTCTGTCAAGAGCCACGTGGAAGCTGATGTGCAGCAGCTTGTCCATGATAAAAGAATTTATGCACAGGCATCTTTCATGAAAACAGTTTTTCCAGCACATTCCTCAAGCCCTTTGGTGACCAGCTAGTGGCAACAAGAGCAGGGTTGTGAGGTCTGGAAGCTCCTAGTCGTGAACTGGCATGAAAGCGGCAGTTACAAGAAGCTTGTCTAGAACTTGGATGAGACAGGGGTGTGATTTGGCAGCTGTAACTGTGACTAAGCAGTCCTCTTTAGGATCTACTCTGCTCACCCCACATGAGGAGGGGGCTCAAAGGGTTCCCTAAACATAGGCCATCTAATACAGTATTCTGTATTTCTTTCTGAGTGGATAACCACATCCAGTGGGATCACCTTCCTGACACTGAAAATACCAACTAAGACACACCATCATTTTTGGGACTGGGAACATCAGGACCCTCATGGAAAACCCTAATAATGAACACCAAGAGTGCTGCACTGCAATCGTGACCCAAAAACTCAGGTGAAACAACATCAATGTAGTTGCACTGAGCAAGACCTGGCAAGTGAGAGATGGGCAGCTCAAAGAACATGGAGGCAGCTATACCATCTTCTGGAAGGTTAAACAGGAAAGAGAATGCCAACTTCATGCAATTGATTTTCCCATTAAGAATGAACTCATAAACCGACTTGGTGAGTTCCCTAACTGAATTAATAAGCACCTCATAACTCTCCATTTTAAACTGGCAGGGAACCAATATGCCACTGTCATCATTATGTATGCCCAGGCTCTTGATGCTGCTGATGAAACCAAGGATGAATTCTATGCCACCCTTGACCAATACTCAAATAATTAACTACATGAATGGTATATACTGTAACAGCCACAACAAATGTGCTATCTCAGGAGAACATCCTGAATCCCATGGAGCTATCAAAATGAGCATGCAAGTCCCAAAAAGTCAATATACTAATCAAAAGAATGAATCTGAATGAAAGGAAGGTGATCCAGTGATGATCAACCATTCTAATTATTTAGTGCAATGGTGAACATTGGTAACATAAGGAAAAATTAATTGAAATGTCTCTAATGAGTTGTGTACACTCTAAAAATAACATCATTTTCAAACAACATCTGCTTCTTTTAGTATAGTGTAAGGAGTGACTTTCCTTTCAGATAAAGTTGAATTTGGGAAGATGGTTTTACAATTTAAGTGTACCTTGTTTGTATCAGAAGAATTTTCCCTCATAAGTCTCTGATTTCAAGATAATTCTATAATCAGCCTGCTTTGAAAGCTTTTGTAAGTGAATAATCCTCACTTCACTGGAGTCCTCATGCTGGCTGGTAACTTCAAATCATGTTGGTTACTCTAGAACCTACTAATATAGGAAAATGATCATGACATGTTTCCCCACTATGTTGAGTAATCTTAGCCGGGGAGTATTGACTATTTCTTCCCTTTCTTCCCTTCATTGCATTTTGGCTAGGGAGAGACATTACACATAAAAAGGTTTAAATGATCAGAAAATGGTTTAAACCAGTAACAGAACAGATATTCCGTGCTCATAAACCAATTTGAAAATGTCTGAAACTAGTTTGAGATAAACCTGGTTGAATGTAGTATCAGACTTAACTGATTTGGGTCAAACTGGTTTATACAATGTCTGTACCAGACCCCTTCCTGGTTTAACTTAAACCAGAGTCCCCCCCAGCATCCCAGATGCTGTGCAACCCTGGGCGGGGCTCTCTGTTCCATGGCAGAGCTGGCCCCTCCCCTCTGTTTCCTGGCTGGAGCTCCGGCAGAGACTGCAGTCACAGCAGCATCTGCCTGGATTTTTCCACCCCCACCCACCACCACTCCCTGCTCAAGCAGGGATTCCCTCCTCCCCTCCCACAACAGGGACAGTAGCCAGCACATGGTATGCAAGTTAATGCTGAGAGGTGTCTGTGTAAGGCAGACAGGATAAAGGCAAAAAGGACAGTGCCCATTTAGGGCTTTTTGGAGCTAAAACAAGAGCTTGAACTAATGATAGAGGCCTTCGTTTTCTCAATGGACTGATAAACACTCCCTGCTGTGACTCCCTTCTGTGTAAGTAAATGCTGTGTAACTCCCTGCTGGCTCTGTTGCTGGTCAGGAACAGTGGGGGGGACACCCCTCCCTAATCATAGCATCCTGCCAGGGCCTGGCCACACCCCACCCCACCCCTCAGCTCAGCACTGCGCAAGGGAAGGGAGGGTTGCTCTAGTGAACCCCAGCTTCGAGCCTGAGCCACTGCAGGCATGTGCCTGCATTTCTTCAGTCCAGAGGGGATGTCTGTATGGTTACAGACCAGTTCCACCTAGCCAGGTTAGACTAATCTGCAGAGATTGAATCAATTCAGGCTTTTTGAATGTCTGTCCCTAGCCTTAGAGTGAGGCAGCATCAGTGGATAGCAGCATTGCTAGAGTTGAGTGAAAACTGCCAAATTTCACAAACATTTTGTTTTCATCTGTAAACATATTTTACTTTGATTGGGTTTGTGTCCTGTCTCCATAGGTAATACCTCCAGTAGTCTCAAGAAATCTTGGGCTGTCTATTGGAGTGGGGGGGAACATTTCTCAATATATAAGTAGAAGGAGAGGGAATACCTGTGGCATTCAGAGCTCAAGGAGTTAGAACTAGCATACAGTCATAGCTGGTGTGATGAAAATGTCTGGGGTTACAGGGAATGCCACACAAAGTACTTTGAGGAGTTTGCTGATTCACACAAGTAAAAAGAATCTCCTCTGTCCAGAGCCTGGCCATGTACCTCCATAGGGAGGATCTATGGGCATTTGTAGACAACACAGGGGTTTAATTCTCTGTAAATTGAAGCAGTGGTTTTATAAAAAAAACACTTCACTTTAGGGCAAAGTAAGTCACCATGTCATATACACCCATGTCGGAGCCTGATCCTTACCTGCCTCTCCAGCAGTGAGGAGGGGAAGGCAAGCTGCTGGCAGGCAGAGCAGTCCATGAGCTGCAGTGGGGGGCTGGTGCTTCCCTCTGTGGCAGCAGCACCCCCCTCCCCCAGGCAGCACCCACCCACAGGTACCCAGCTCGGGCAGTCCTGGGGGGTACTGCAGCCTTGGAGGGAAGCACCAGGCCCCTGTGCAGCTCAGGCAGGCAGGTAGGCTCCAGGGGGAAAAAAAGATAAGGCTCGCCACTTTTTTTTTCCTTCTGGGGAGCCTGCCTTCCTGGGCTGCTGCTGGGCTGCCTGCATGGTCTGCCTGCGTAGCCCCTCAGCTGCATGGAGCCTGATGCTTCCCTCCACAGCTGTAGGGTAGGAAACTAAAACTCCTTGGAGGTGTTTTACTTTGTAGCGCCCCAAAGTCATTTAAGGCGCATTATATTGCCAAATGTGCTGCAGCAGCTGGAATTAATGCGCAATACACCACCAAATGTGCAAACAGCAATGCCATTAAAGCAGTGCAAAAGGCGTTTAAGCCACTTTAAACCCGCTAAAAAGTGTCGTCTACAAATGGCCTATGTCAGTGATTCTGAAGGTCTCAGACTTCAGGGATTCTCTTGGGTTGTCTGAAGACTAGGGCCACCTCCTTGATTGCTGCATAGTAAGATGTTTACAGAGGAGCAGCAATAACCAATTTGTTTGAGGTGCCTGGAACCCTCCCAGGTCATAGCTGCTCATAAATGGAGGGTGAGGGGCAGTGCCCTATCAGCAGAGATAATCATCACTGAACAGATAGTAGCACTAACCCTAATGAACTTCTCCTTTACTTACTCCTTTGTCCTGGGACTACCAGGATGGGTGTGGAAGGGAGCAGGGAAAGAAAAGAACTGGAGCAGAAACAAGGGAGATGTGTAACAGGGGGAGATGTGTAAAAAGCTCACAGGTAGGTCACGTTATTCCCATCAAAAGTTGTATTGTTACATATTGGCACTTCCTCCAGCTTTCACCAGCAGCCTCCGTCTCCATCCTGAGCTTCAACTGGTAGAGCTTCCCTTGGGTTCAGTGAGAGCAGTCTGAGTCCCTTGTATTTTAAATTACTAAATGTGCTGTTATTTCTCATCTGATCTAATAAATGCTACTGTTTCCTTTCCTGCTTGTTTATAGCTGTCCCTGGACCTCTATCACACAGAAGATGATATTTACAAGCTCTCCCTGGTGTTGGAGCCAAGGAATTCTAAATCAGTAGGTCTCTTTTATTGCCTTTTGGAAGGGGTGAAGTTGTATTTACACCTCTGTGAGATTTATAGTTGATGTACCAAGATTATACTCTTGAACTTGTGGGAATTAACTTTAAAGCATATTTTTGTGTATTCTGTAACAAATATAGTCATCTATTATGTATGTTTTTATAAGCATTTGTAAACTGGAGGAAAATGATACTAGTAAAATATCCTGGACTTTATCACTCTGAATTTAAAGAAACCTCAACAAGTTACAAAAAGATAGTATTATAGACTACATGTATAATATTACTATCAATTAAATATGTAACATTTCTGAATAGCTGCAAAGTGTTATAAATCATAATTAAGTCCCCAAATCTGTCATTTGCTAATGGTTTGGTGTATGGAGATACCACATTTTGTTGGATGTTGTTTTGCTTCTAAAAACTTTAGCTATACTTTGCATTCTCAAACGGAAATGGCAAGGATTTTTGTCAGTGATATCTTTTAACGGACCAACAAGACATGCTTTTGGGTACCACTGTACCCTTTCTCCAGGTCTCCCACTCAGGTGGGTACAGTGGTCCCTGACAACTTGACTATGTTCTTCCAACAATACTTTTTTGGAAGTTCTGCCAAAAAAAGATACCACCCACAAAAACCCTTGCCCCTCACATTTTTCCAGGACCATCATAGCTACAGCATCAACCCAATACTACCATTCTCAGCTAGGAATCACAAGAACTTAAAACTGTTTATTGCACTGGGGCATTTTCCCAACATTTACATCTATACTGAATTTGACAAGAACCTTGAAGAGTATACCCTGAAAAACTGGTTATTTTGTAATTTATTCTGCAAAAAGACTAAACTATAGGTCAATAAGAATTTATCTGTTTTAATTGAACTGTCATTTAAATTATTACCAATGCTTTGGTCTCTTGCAGGGTTTTTGCAATTGGTCTAGTAAAATATAGCACACTACCCAAAGAACCTGACCTACCTTGGTCCCTGTTGAAATTTGGGGACTTTTGTGCTATGGATGCATCAGCTTTCAGTGTATTAATCTTGAGTGTGACATATCTCATGCAAGCTTAATTTTGCTGCAAGTGAGCACACTTATCTGTGAAATCAGCAGTAACTGAGAGATCTAAGCATCTTCCAGGAGATGTTTGTTTAGCAGATTGTAGGATCAGACCCCAGGAGATTAAAATGTTTTTATTCAGAGCCGTTCTGCAGTGTTTAAGAAGTTCTGCATCCTGAAGACATTGTTTCCCAGTTCCTAACAAATCACTTTCTGGGAGACTGGTAGAGTCTTAAATGCAGCATGGTAACTGATCATAAGGACATCTAGTTTGATTATTCTAACACAGGTTTAGCTTTAATCCATTTTGAATACTTGGAATTGTATTAACGACTCTCTGACCTTCATGGCGTGTAGGGCATAATTTGATAGCCAAAACTCCAGTATGTTTGCTCATTAATCAGTCTGCCTCCCCCATCCCTCTCCTCATTAACCCTGGTATGTCTGTCAAGGCCAGCAACAATTGCAACACTGAATTGTGGCAGCCTGTCAGGAACTAATGATGGGTCATTACTAGGAACAAAGAAAACAAACATTTAGCTGCTTTATTCACCAGTCTTAGTTTAAAAGGACAAATGCTGTGGGGGAACAGTCCTGTGACCTTTAACAATACTGTCAATTGTCAGGGACTTCTCAAGTAATCAATGAATAATCAGTGACATTCAGTCTTTGCAGTACAAGGTCCTTTTTGACTTCTACCTCAGTGAGAGGCAGGCTGTGGCTCCTGAGTGCTTCCACTGACTACCTGGTGCTTTTCCCAGGAAATGTTATAAAAATATTGTGTTTTCTCTTTTGTGTGAGGGGGTGTTTTTCGGTCTGGGGTGTGTTTACTGCATGCATTTGGTACACACCTTTTCTTCAGCCATGAATAACGAAACGGAGCAATACATTAATGCAGCACAACAGCTACATACTGTAGGGGTTTTTTTTAACCTTTTGGACTGGCACGTGTTTGCCACAACACACCGAGGGGTATCCAGGTTGCTACGGCTTGTTTGGTTAACGCTGTCTGCTTCTATAGCTCCTGAGCCATTCAAAACTGAATGTCACTGCTTGAACTAACTAGGCATAAATCAGCCTTTCTCCTGTGCCCCTTTTCATACTGTGTCAGAAATGTCTGAGCTCACTTGGAGGGTGAGGTACAGCTTCAAGGTCTTTTTTAAATGGAAAAAAGTTTACATGAAGAACTAAATTGATATCATTTTATCTCTTTCTTTATACTGTTATAATCCCATGAGGGGTAATTAGCCATGTCAGTCTGAAGTCAGTCAGAAGGCAGGGTACCTTTATAGACTAAATACATAAGAGAGAGAGAGCACAAGCTTTCCTGAATCCAAGTTTGCTTCATCAGATATGTAGAAAGGAATATGTAGAAAGCAGACTATAAGGAGAAAGATATTAGAATACAAAGACAAGGCAGGTGGGGGAGACAGAGATAGAGAGAGATAAGAGGGGGATTGTGCTAGGAGATACAAGCAAAATAGCAGTACTAGGCCACTATCGATCCTCTGGATCATGGTGTACATGCGAGAGGTCTAATCAGATGCCTGATGAATCCTTTTGTGGTTTACAAGCCCAATTCAAGAGCAACACAGCTTGTTGCAAGTTTCACAGATCCATGTGTTGTCTGAGTTGGAGTCTAAGTTCACAGCAAGCTGCTTTCTTCTTTCCATCCTCTGGATCAAAACCACTTCATATTGAATTTCACCCAATGCCAGATGTTCCCTCCAGGTTGGATGGAATTCTGGGTGCTTCTCCCAGCTTTCTACATAGATGTTGAATGACTTCATGTCATTTTGCATACATTGTGGTACCACCATAAAGGGCAACTCCACTTTCTAGAGCTGTCGTGAATCTCTCTGTACAAAATATTCTTGGGGATACAGTCTCCTCCGATTCTCCTGCCACAGCGGATCTTATTGCAACCTCCTCATCTTGATAATGGTTTCTAAGTGTGTCAGTCCTGTGCACTCCAGTCCCTCTGTGTTTGGTATTCTATCTTCCTACTTTATTTTCAGGATCTTCTGTTGACATCTCTTGTGGAAGCTGTTCAGTAGGGTTGTGCAAAGCTTTGGTCACTGATTGGATTCAGCGGAGATTCAGCCCAATTCGGTGACTGAATTGAATCAGGAGACCTTTTAATCTCTCTGAATCAAATGGGAACTCTCCGAATCGATTCGGAGAGATTCAGTGAGTTGGACATAGACACAGATTTAAATGTTTTTTCTACATACCTCAAGGTACCAGGCAGCTCATGAATGCTGAAATGGTAGAGTAGATGGAGCGTCCCACAGGAGTGCAGGGGAGTCCCTAGCTTACTTGGCGGTGGACCCAGAAGTGGACCAAAAGCACCCCTCTCACCCCCTGGCTCAGCGACTGGTGCCTCCTGGGTCTGGGGAGGCACCTGAGATCCCCCCCATGGCTGATCACTGAGCCGGGGAGGTTGTGGGGGGGCTCCCCCGCATGCTCGGCAGCAGACCTGGAAGTGGACCAGTCGACTTCTGGGTCCACCACCGAACACGCGGGGGGGGCCCCCCCATGTTCCCGTGGGATGCTCCATCCACCCCAGCATCACAGTTCACATGCCATGCCTGGTACCTCGAGGTATGTAGAAAAAACATTTAAAGCTGTGTCTATGGCCGAATCACAGATTCGCCGAATCAGCATTGAATCTTCAGATTCGGATTCGGCCAAATTGAATCAGGACAGTGATCTGAATCAACGAATCAAATCACTGTCCCCCAATTCAGGCCAAATCTGAATCCGAATCGAATACGGCCCATTTCTCACACCTGTACTGTTCAGTCTCTTGATGTGCCTAGCATATGTAGTCCATGTTTTTTAATCATAAAGTAGGGATGGCAGCATGCAAGTCTCATAGATTCATATCTTCACCTTAGCTGATAGTTTGCTGTTACTCCATGCAGGTTTCTGTAATAGCCCAAAATTCTTAGCTGCTTTTCTGATTCTGTTAGTCATTTCAGTCCAAGTAGCAAAAACTGTCAACGACTCCAATTGATTTATCCTCCAGAGTGATGTCAGGTGATCGCAGTCTTCTTGAGACTGTAAAAAGCAGTAAAACCCTAAGAACAAAGGGGTCTCAAAAGCGAATCAAGATAATGAGTTAAGAATCCATAGTCCCTGTTTAAACTGTACTTAACACAGTCCAGTTTGTGGATGATTTCTTGTTCTGCAGTTTCCTATTCAAACTGGGTTTTTTAATTTTTTCTACCTGATAACAGCAATCCTGAGCAATCCTACATGTATAGACACATGGGGTACAGACACATGAACAATTTACTGATGGGCAGAAAGAGGCAAGAATTCACTGCATATCTCTGAAGTAACTGCCTGTGTACCCACACTTACCCTATGCTTAGGGACCTACCCAAAATGAGGCAGCAGACAGGTGACTTTGCAGGCCGATCATGGCACCAGCTACCATTTGCATGGACTTATCAGGGGCTCCCCCACACCTGTTTGGCTGAGGAGCCCCAGTGTTCCCACCCCTCGCCACAGATTGGCAGGTGGCCCAAAAAACACAGCATAATAATCCTGATTAAGCCCAGGGAAGCCATTAATTGACGCATTACTAAGCAATCTAAGGATTCAATTAAACTCTAAACTGAAATATCTTATGAAATTAAAGCTATACACACCATGAATTGTAACTAATACCGTCACCATACTTTATTAATGATGTTGTAAAAAGGAGTTTAACAATACTCAAGACAATGGGCCTTATGTATTTCCAAAACTGAGTGCTTACAAAGATCATGAGGTTTTTTTTTAAAAATACTATAATTTGTAGTTCTCTTTTGTTTCTTTTTTAGTTTGGGCCTCTGGACTTCTCGTATATAAGCTTTTCCCTGCAATTATGAAGACTAGAAACTCAAGGTCGTGTTGCACATTACACTTAGGACCTGTTAACTGCACTTAAAACAGGAGTATTCAAGCAGTAAAACACATGCAAAGTGCCATCCTAATGTAGCAAAGTTAGGACTTTTCCAGCAAAGAGTATCTCCAGATCATATTACTTAATGAGTGTCGAGCTAATATCCAACTACTCCACAGAGTTAATATGCCCAGGAGGCTCCGGTGTGGTGCCGGTGCTGGGACCAATATGTAGCTTCAGTCCCAGCCTCAGCATCACACTGGAACAGGTTCAAGACTGTTGCTCCCAGATGTTTGTTGTTCCCAGCTCACAGCACAGCAGAGTCTTCAAGGGCTTTGGCACTTAAGACATGTTTCATTTAGGTCATAGTAAGCATTACTGTGTGACTGCTCAGAAAACTTTCCAACTCATAAGTAATGCTTACTACAATCTAAATAAAACATGTCATAACCGTAACATGTAACAAGGCCCTCACTCTTTAATGAAAGCTGATTCTATTGCATCATTCCATGAGCTGGGGCTTTACGAATAGCTGTCATTCCTCCTGACCTCTTCTCCAAGCTCTAGAAAAGTAGGACTGCATAATAATCTTGGCTAAAAAGTCATTTTGAGCATCACCAAGCTATAGATCTGGTGACTCTGATTTGTGTGGCTTGTTTGAATTTACTTGGGCTCTCTGCGCTTCTGGATGTAGAAATTTTGCCTTCTTGAATTTACCTTCACAGCCTCACTCTGGGAGTCGCACACCTAGGTTTGCAGCTGCAGAGCCCACAAGAGGAGTGATGGGGGATATGTTCATGCCCCTCAGGCCCTCACTGCCAAAGGCCAAAGACATAAATAACCCATTCTGCTAACAAATGCAGTTCATTTCTGTCTACCAAACAGGGCAATTTAGGCCCCTATTATACCTTCTTCCCCTCCTCCCCCCCGAGATGAGAGTGTCTAACAGCCCTTTATTATATAGCATTGTACCATTAGTTACTGTGTCAGAATATGTGTAGATTAGAAAATAAAGTTTTAAATGAAGCTTTACTAGCTCTCCTTCAGGTTACACCTTCTATTGGAGAGCCAGATGCCCTATAAGACAGTAATGACCAAAACTGAAGCCCTTGAAGCTAATACTTTTGTTTCCATACCTTGCTGACAATCCTGGTAGCCATCCCCTTAACTAGGTATCTCTGAATTGAAAGCACTAATACGGCAATGCACCCAAAGCCATTCTTTATAAAGAGAGGGTGATTTCTGAGGCTTCACCTAAAATTTATGACCAAGTTTCAGATTTTTCACTGAAACAAGACTATTGTCCCACTTGTTTTCTTCACAAAGCTACTTAGTCATGCAGGATGAGTCAAATGGCATATTATAGGTGTCAAAGGGGCTGTCAGCTACTATTTAGTCAGGACCAAACTGTTTTGAAAATAAAATAAACTGGCTGATGCCTCTTGAAGTAAACCAAAAGGTTAATACCTCTCTGCACAGACTGTCTAAATGGATTAGGTGGTGCATACAGTCCTGTTATGACCTCGCTAGAATCCCTGCTCAAAAAGACATAGGACTCATTCCACTGGGTTGGCTGTTTCCCTGGCATATGTTCAAAATGTGCCTTATCCAAAATCTTTTGGGCTCCTAGACTGCCCTCTTACTGCACAAGGAGCAAATGTTAGTTTCTGAAGGACACTGCTTCAATCACTGTTGCATAAGCTTAGCACCCTGGCCCACCCCTTCAGGGAGGTCACTACTAGCTGTCTCCTAGGCTAGGGACAGACATTCAAAAAGCCTGAGCCTGAACTGATTCAGTCTTTGCAGGTTAGTCTAACCTGGCTAGGTTAAATCAGTTTGTAACTGCACAGACATCCCAGACATGCAGGCACCTGCCTGCAGTGGCTCAGGTTAGAAGCTGTGGGGCGCTAGAGCAGCCCTCCCTTCCCTTCCACAGTACGGAGCCAAGGAGGGTATGGTCAGGCCCTGCAGGATGCTCTGATTAGCCTAGCAGGGAATTAATAACAGTGTTTATCACCCCTAACTCAGTGTTTATCACCCGATTAAGAAAACAACAGAAGGACATTACCAGCTACCTGTTGATTCTGCCTTTGTCCCTGTCTGTCTCAGCACAGACCATAGCCAGCATGTGGTCTGATAGCTAATACACAAACACCTCTCAGTAAGGGAGAGTGGAGGGGGAAATTCCTGCTTAACAGGGAGTGGTAATGGGGAGGGGAGGGAGCAGCCTGCAGTCTCTGCTGGACTCCAGCCAGGGAACAGAAGGGAGGGGCCAACTCTGCTGTGGAATAGAGAGCCCCACCCAGCCCAGAGAGCATGCTGGGATGCTGGGGGTGTCTGGCTTAAGTTAAACCAGGAAGGGGTCTGGGACAGACATTGCTGGTTTACAGCTTGACCCAAATCAGTTAAGTCTGATACTACATTCAACCAGGTTTATCTCAAACCAGTTTCAGCCATTTTCAAACTGGTTTATGTGTAATATCTGTCCCTAGCCCTAATGGCACGATTCTGTGGAGGCAATGTCAGGAAGGAGAAAAGGAAGTTACTTACTTATCTCATGTAACTCCTGTTCTCTGATTGTGTTGTCTCCACAGAGCTGCACTGACCCCTCTCCTCCACTCTGCTTCTGAGCCTGTTTACTGTTGAGGTCTCCTGAGACAGTTAGTGAGAAAAGTCTGTTCGGGCACACACCCTCAATTGTCACTGCTCCTAGTGGTTCTGTGACTGCAAACCTAGGATTCCTGGTAGTATGGCTCCATGGAGCCAGGGTCTGAGAACTCAAGTCAGGAAAGGTAAGCAATGCCTGTTTTCTTGGGGCCTTGTCTGACATCTTGCCAGCCAGCTTTTTCATGCCTTCTGTAATGTTACTACTCCAACCTATTTTAGCAGTGCACTGGATTGAATGATTAAGATTTAAAAAAATAACTGTCTTTTGATTCTTCCGTCACCAGCCTACCTCCCCAACGACCCCTAACAAGCCAGTAGTGCCGCTGGAGTGGGCATCTGGAGTGGTACCAAAGCCTGACCCAACCATCATTAACAAGCACATAAGAAAGCTAGTCGATGTAAGTAGATGAAAGCATGTATCACACTGAGGGGACAGTGGCTTCTCTTGTCTAAGCTTTCAAGCAGTATACAAAAGCCAGGATGAATTTCAGTTTTACAGCAATTGTGATACAGCAAGACTTATTTTAATTTTAATCTAGAAACCCAAGACTGACTGGACTAGCAAGACGATGCCCTGGTGCTAAGGGGTAACTTTTTTAGAAACTTTGAAACCTGACTTTCCTTCCACTGGGTTCAACTGATCAAGTACATTGCAGGTGCAAATTTGAGAAGTTGTAATGCAGACTCCCCTTCTTGTACCTGCATTTGGATAGTTCAAAACATATGTACTCAGAAACATGGACAAACATCTTAGCAGCCTTTACAAACCCTTCTGGAACCTAAGCCATAAGTGCTAAACTATTTGATATTTGTGCTAATTTGCTAGAAAGTTTCACAATTCTTGGCACCAGTGTGTCAATGCAGCTGTTTAACAGCTTAAAAATCAAGCCTGCCAATTTTGTGCTTCAGGACCAAGAAACCCAAAGTGAAATTTTCTTTTTTATGGGATCTGACAAACTTAATCCAAAATGCCAGACTTAATCTAATATTGCTGTCTCTCAACAAGCCTTCTGGAGAGAGAAGGCCTTTTTTCATCACCTTTGAACATTCTATGTGTGCTACTAGCCACTTTTCCAGTCTTCTGCATGACAGTTTTCCATTCCTCAGCTCCAGCTGATTCTAGATCACAGGGTTGTATGACTGGTTTGTAATAGTTTTTGGCTTGCCAGCCATTGCCTGAAATTTGCTCACGTGACCCTGTGACTAAAATATTAAGTAAGTGCTAATCGCTGCCGCTGCATATTTAGGGGTTATTTTTGCTGAAGTAAGGAGGGATCCCACTGAAATCAAGGACATTTTTGCCATTTGTTTCAAGAGGAATTGGTATAACAACTTTATTTATGAAATACCAAAGGGCCACTCTAGATGTTCAGGTAAAGTTGTGATAAGAACTGGTGTGCAAAACATACAATCATGCCTCCTGCCATGCCACATGTGTTTAGAAAATAAAGATCCTATCACGCCTTATTGCCAATGCACACAGAGCTGAGGACCATGATCCCAGGCTCCTCCTGCACCAACATACTAGTAGCAAGCTGCTATGGCTAGGAGTCCTGAGGGGTGCTACCATGGATGGGTATCTTGTCAACTGATGGGACTCAGACATGGTAACCCATGGGGTAGTGCTGTGGGTGGGAGTCCTGCCAGCTGTGGAATTGCCAACTGGGAAGGGCATAGTGCACCCTTGCAGTTAGGAGCCCAGGGACATAGATCCTGCTACACATGCAAATTAAAGCTGTATGGAAACTAAATATAAAGTTGTTATACATTTTCCAGCTCTAACTTTATAGCTGGTTGGGCCTTTTTAAGGTGTGATAGTTAATTTACATGTGTAGTCAGTCTAAAATAATTGTGCAATTAATCAGGGAATTGTGTAAGACATGTGTAGAGGGGACCAAAGCCTATAATTTGATATCAGTCATTCCAATGGAGTGCTACCTAGATCTGAATTATCCTGATTTGGGATTTCCAAAACAAAAACCAAGAGAGCAGGTTTCTTCTTCACATCATATTCCACCTGCTTGAAACTCCCTCCCTGTAGGGCTGTAATATATGCCCATATTATACTATTTGGAGAGCCCTCTAGCAGGAATCCTAATTAGTGTTTCTTCAAACAGGAAATGCCTGTTGAAAAGCCTAAAACCCTAATGGGCAGGAGTGTGTGCATGTGTTTAGAGAGAAGAAGTTAAAGCCTGGTAGATTGTTAGCAGAAGTACTCAACAGGTCTAACGTCTTTCAGAAAAATAAAGGCCACGTGTATGCAGTATCCAGCATTCTCCAGCTTTCTCTCATTAGCGCACCCTGCCTCATGGGTACTGGCTGTCTCACTAACACACCCTACCTCATGGGTACTGGCTGGCTCTCTCCACTGTCAAACCACTCCTCAGATCACCTTTTTCCTGTGACATGTTTCATCATGCACCCACTTTACACAGAAGTGGGGAGTAGGCATACTACCATACAGGGGTAGGTATTAGCATACTACCCTGTGCAATTCAAGCTAGAGCACCTTCTCACTTGCATTGATGCTTTTTCATTGATCTAGGTCCTGACCTCTGTTACCAAACTGTTACCTAGAATAACTCTGTTACTTCAAATGTTGGATTTATATCAGTATAAGTGATGATTTAGCATCTTTGGGTAAAATACATAAACCATTTGAGAACAGAGGCCAGAACTCAGGAGTGTTACAGTAGTGCCAGCCATACTGAGCCAGAGACTCAGACTCCCTCATTTGCTATTCTCTCGAGCCATTAATCTTTCTTTCTTGGCTGCCCAATGAGATAAGAGGGACAGGGAGTAGAGGCTGGCTAAAACTTGCCTGTAGTTTAGTGATTAGCACACTCTGTTAGCACATGGGTTCAGACCTAGTGAGTGGACCCAGAACCCAGGTCTCTCATGTTCTGGGCAAGTCCTTAACTACTTGCACCACTTATGTAAGAGAAGTGTTTACTTACACTTACAGTCAGTGTTGCAGTCCATTAGGTAGACATGCTGGTTCAGGCAGATGTTTCCCTGTTCAGGCCCTGAATCCTGCTGAGATGTCTCCCTCTAACACTGTCAAGATCAGGTTCAAGCATGGCAAGACCAGGCTGGGTGGTGCAGGTGGTAAGGGGCCAGATTGATACTCCAGAGGTTGTAAGTTTTAAGTCATAGCAGAAGTGCAACCTGTCAGATTTCAATGAATCTGCAAATTCTGCTAGACATATTGTTACAAGGACATGAAAAAAATGACAACACCATAGTTTTTTAGCATAGGTTGAGGCTCCCCACAGAGAGAGAGGAGAGCTACTCATCTCCTGGGTGAAACTGGATCCATCACTGAAAGTACCTACAGACTGCCCATTGAAAACTGGGAGAGCCTAAGAACAAGGAAGTATGTGTCTCTACAGACAAAACAGGATCCCACCTCTCTTTGCCTGGTTGCACTGCCTTGGAATAAACAGAAGCTGAATCAGGGACCAAGAGGCTGCAAAATAAGATGTGGCTCTCTGGACCTATTAAAACAAGTTTCCTATACGGAATCAGCACAGTTTGCCTTATAATTGAATGGGCATAAACAGAAAAGTATTGAAGTGCTAGTAACTGGCATTTGATAGAATTAATTCATTCAGCAGTTCCTAGTTAATGAGGGTGGACATTTAACTTGTGTAACTGCACAACTAAAGGGCTGATTTAGTCATAAATGTGTATAGACTGGATTTTATTTTGCCATTATGTTTCCAGTGTCTTTCTTCTATTTTGTTTTGAATCACGTTCTTCTATTTTTCAGTCTGTTTTTAGGAACTATGATCACGACCATGATGGCTATATTTCTCAAGAAGACTTTGAAAGTATAGCTGCCAACTTTCCTTTTCTGGACTCCTTCTGTGTACTGGACAAAGACCAGTAAGCTTTTTTTCTTCTTTTTAAAATTATAGAAAAGAAGAGATGCCTTCCAGACCTCAGCTTTTTTTTTAATATGTGCCTGGCTTCTTAGCCAGCAACTTGAAGAGCAACTTCAGCTTGATGAATCTTTCACATTATTATCATTACAATTATTGTTGTTGTTATTATTAGTATTGTTATTATTATTGTACTCTCATTTACTTTATTTTTATTATACTCTCATGCTATACTTTTCTAGAAGACTTCCAGTTTGGTGTCCGATCATACTGGGCCCTGTATAAATATCTTGTCAATGATAGTGCCTGTCCGAAGTGCTCACAGCCAAAAAGAGGAGCTATATCACTTGGATGAAGGAAATGAGTACGTTGGCTGTGAGCTGTGAGAAGCACAGGATGAATAACAAATATTCTAGGACAGGGATGTCAAATTCACCCCAGGCCCTGGGCCAGATCAGGACTATGGGGCTTCTCCTGGGTTGGATCTACAAAGCAAGTGGCTGTAATGGCAGCAGCTCTGTGGCAGTGGCAGGGGTCCAGCAGTGGTGGCAGCAGGGGTCTGGTGGTAAGGAAGGTGGTGTCAGCAGCGGGGGTCTGGCAACAGTGGATTTCCGATGGTAGGGTCTGGCAGTCGCTGGCAAAATGGCAGTGGGCCAAGTAGCTGCAGGGAGTGCTGGACTGTGCTAGCACAGCTCTTGCTTACTCTCCCCAGCCACCAGCAGCCATGTCCTGGAGGCCTGGGGGGGCGGGGCCCAAATTCTGCAGCAGGCCACACAAACCCTAGTCATGCCCCCAACTTCCATTAGCCTGGTGAGCTTTATGTTTGACAACCCTGTGCTAGGATGTGCACAGTAACATTGTTACTTGAGAATTTTAGAGGACTGAGGGTGAAACCAATGAACAGTGAGACTCTTGTGGTCACAAATAGAAAGCTTTATTGGGATATGCTATAGCAACAGTTTATTTATATCAACATGGACAGTGCTTATGTAGACTTGGACTTGAAGGAAGGTAGGTCTGCTGGCCAGGCATCACTGCTCCTTTGCAGGCTTTTGTTGATATAGTTCTTCTTTCAGAGTCAAGCTCATGGAAGCCCAATTTTATACAACTTGACCATAAATTATATACCTAATGCAAGATTCTCCTATTTGGTTACCTTTTTGTGCTGAACCAATTGCCATTTATTTTCTTACATTATAGGGACACACCAACATTAGTTACAGTGCATACTCAATGTTACACAATCCTTCTTTCATAATTTTACTGCACATGTGCTATCATGGCTTTTACTTATGTTGAACTAAACCAGGCCAGAACGAGCCCTACATGGCAGGTATAGCCTACAAACCCCTCCTTGCCAGCCAACCCTTTGAGTTTCCGTTACTACCCCTTGTTCAATTAAAGCATTTATAGTTTTGTGTAAACCTGGTTCAGCCTTTGTTGGATACTTATACTGTCTCTGGGGTGGGGTATCAGGTCCTGCACTTAACACCTTCACCTTAATTGTTCCACATTCCAACTTATTAGGCTTTCTTTAGCCTTGAGGGCCACACACGTATGCCTTGCTGCAATTATCCATGGAAGTTCTTCCTGTTCTCCAGCTGACTCTCCCAGGTTACCTGCCATTTAATAGAGAACTGTGCTATTACCCAAGTCTACACCTACTTGCAGCCTTTTAAAACTATCTATATCCACTATTTCTTGCAACCCTAATTTCATTATTCCAAATGTGCCGTGGGCCCATCAAGTCTTTATTCCAAATTGCTTTACCTGAGAGGTGGGTACTAATGATTCTTTTCTGTTTAACCCTTCAAGCCATTTCTCCCTTCCTCACTTCCAGCGTGAGAAGGGGGCTTCTTCTACACTTACAGTTGAAAACAATGCACCCATGTTTATTAACATTGTTTGCCTGGGTGCCCTATAACCAAAGTCACTTTAAAATCTTATATCCACTATTGGATGCCTCCAGTTGTCATATTTTATGGATACCAGGAAAAGGGGGTGATTGGACACTGGGCGGTCCTAACATTGCGGGGGCAGGGCACTGGGTTTCAGTTCCTCCCCTCCTTCATGGCAACCGAGCTGCTACTACTGGAGTAGTTTAGTGGTGGGTAAACCATCAATTTTTTTTCCGTATCTAATTAACTGGTGCCATACTTCCGTTCTTCATGGATTTGCCTTTTCTTAATCTTTCTGAAGGCCCTCCTTACTTCTTTCCTTTTTCCCCCTATTGACTGCTCCATTCACTTTGGCCCATTATTACTGAAAGTAATGGCTGCCACTTTTCCTATTTTCTTATAAGCCCTGTTACTATGCTGTACTTATTACAGCATAACTTGAATAGCAGCCCATGCTGAGTTTGCCTTACACAATAAGAAGAGCTTACATTTTGTTTCCTGATTGAATCCCATGAACAGGAGTTGTTTATAAAGTGGATTAGCATCTTTAACATGTTTGCCTTAGGTATGAGTGTTAGTATCAACTGCTACTTGTAAAGCTAACCAGAATGTATTAGCAGGCATCTTCTCCTGGCTTTTGCATATGCTAGGTCATGGTTCCCAGCGATTCATTGTTCCCTATGAATACCTATTCCACATCCCTAAAAAAGACAAATATATTCCACTTCTTTTTATTTCTTACTTCTAAGGATAAGAGGGACCTGTTGTCTTCAAGGGCAGCCTTCACAATTTTTGCAACATCTCCAACCATTAGGGTTTTGGACTCTTGCAATCAATATAAAGAGTATAAATAATCCCATAAATTGTCCCCACTCAGGAGTCCCAAATTTTTGGCAATTGCAGTAGTTTCTTGTCTTGATAGGAGCTGGGGGATGTGAGTAGTCACCTGCCCCATCCCCCTCAGCTTGGGTTGATACCTTGTTAATAATGGGGGCCATGGGGCCTGGTGTTACTGAGCCATTGCAACTCCTTCTACAAACGTGTATACGGAGATGGTTGATGAGGGTCATCCTCATAATTATAATAGTGGGGTATGAGTCTGGGCCATCACCATTCCAATTTTCTAACTTGTTTTTGCTAGACCTAGCTCCCTCTATATGTTCTTCCTGTATTGTTGCTATAATTCTCCATGACACCCCCAGTTTAGCTTCTAACTCTTTTATGCTCTGATGACATTGGCTGTGGTTGGGTTCAGCCTTGTTCTGAGAATCTTTCAGGACTGCCCACACTGCTCCTTGTGCATCCTGTGCCTTGCACTTCCATGATTCCATTTCCCTATCAGCTTTCCCTTTTTGGTCCTGTGAGATTTCTACTCATTTTTCCACTGTTGTGATTTCCACTGTGTCCTTCAAGGGTGTCCTTTGCAGCACATTCATCTGTGCCTGTGAGATGACCACTTTTTGCTGCAGTTTTTCTGCCTTATCTTTTTTCGCCCTGTAACCGTTGCTCCTTTTGCTGCATTTTCAGAGATTTATACGTCAGTAACAGCCCCTGATGGGCAGCTTGTTTTTTTGTCTTTTTGTCCCTCCATGGCTTTCATCCAGAAACTACCCAGGGAGGCCACTGATTGCACAACTATCCAAAGGCCAAATCTGTAACAGGAAGCTTAGTACTTCTGTTACTTTAAGAGGAGAAAGACTGCAGACAGGGCTCAGGTAGCACTCAAAGGAAGATATCTGGCTGGGGTTACCATATTTCCAGTATCAAAAAAGAGGACACCTCTTGGGGGGAGGATGGAGTGGAGAGGTATATGGAGTGAAGAGGAGGGAGAGGTATATGATGGGGGAGGCAGTGATATGCCCATGCCCCGCCTCTGCCCCTCACTCCTAATCTCCAGACCCCTGCCCCCGCCTCAGCTCTGCCAGTGCCCCTCACTTCTGACCCACAGCCCCCTACCCCCCCCCAGCCCTGCTAGTACCCCTCACTCCTGACCTGCAGCTCCCCGTCCTGCCAGTGCCCCTCACTCTTGACCCACAGCCTCCTGCCAGTGCCCCTCACTCCTGACCTGCAGCCCCTGCCCCTCCAACCAAGCTGCCCATGCAGCTCCCATGCACACGTGCACTGCACACACTGTTTCTCTTACCTGGGAGTTTGCTGGGGCCCATGTGCAGAGCATGTGACCCCCAACAGCCAGTCACCTTGTCTGCTGCTCCCAGCCCCAAGCTGTCCTAAGCTGCTACTGCCTAGGAAAGCAGAGGCAGAGCAAAAACCCAGATATTTGCTCCCATTTTAAAAACCTGCCTGGACGTGAGGACAGGGGGCCAAAAAAGAGGATGTGTCTGGGAAAACTCAAACATATGGTAACCCTACATCTGACTGAAAGGGGGCTGGTCTAGGAGAATATATAAGTCTAGGGCCTGAGCTTTGGCCATGGAAAGAAGAGCTCCTGAGCAGGAGGGCTGCAAATGAGTTTCTGACTCACACCAGGGATACACCTGGGCCTGGGAGCAGGACAGACAAGTAGAATACAGGCAACCCCTGCATAGCACTCTTAATAGGTTCCTGAAAAACCGAGCATTAAGCAAAATGAGCGTTAAGCGAAACCAAAATTATTTGACGACCCAAGATGGCAACCACAATTGTTTTTAATAACCCAAGATGGCAACCACGAGTGTTATAATGAAACTCACTGAGCACAAAGTGAAATCAGATATGAATTTAAAATGAGCGTTATAGCAAAATAGCGCTAAGCGAAACAGCATTAAGCGGGGGTTGCCTGTATTGGGGACTTGCCTGGAGTGTCCCCAATGTTTGGGATTGGGACTAATGGGGGAGGTGGAAGATCCCAATCAGCCCAGGAGCAGGGCCAAACCCCAGGAACAGGACAGAGAAGGTAATAAACCAGGGAGAAAAGCAGAGCCTAGGAACAGGATAGAGAGTGTGTAATAGTCCCAGGGATTAAGACCAGAGTCTGGGAGCAGGGCAGAGGAAGGACTAGAGATGGAGCTAGAGAAATTCCAGTGCCCCAGGCTCAAGTGTATCCCTAGTATGAGTCAGGAGCTCCTCAGCCACCCTCCTGCTCAGGGGCTGTTCCTTCCATGGCCTC